TATGGACGAGGATTTCCGGCAGTCCCTGTGTGAGTACGTCACCAGTGTGGTGCACTCAGCAGGGACACACGTCCGGATGGACCGAGCCGGGCAGGTGCTGACAGGGGCTCAGCTGGCTGCCAGGATCAAGGTGAGAGTGGGGTCTGCTAAAGGGGAGGGGGGCCTGGAGGAAAGACAGCAAAAGGGGCTGAAAAGTGGGGGCCAGGTGATCAGCAGGTGGCACCGTGCTGCAGAGAGTGGGGTGGGGGGACTCAGCAGGGGGCGCTGGACTGCAGGGAGTGGGGCGGGGGGCTCAGCAGGGGGCGCTGGGCTGCAGGGAGTGGGGCGGGGGGCTCAGCAGGGGGCGCTGGGCTGCAGGGAGTGGGGCGGGGGGCTCACCAAGGAGTGGGCTGAGCTGTCCCTGATCCCAGTTCCCCCGGGCATTATTCCCCACAGGACGTCTCCCGATACTTGAAGACCCAATGCTACGACTTCTCCTCCCACCTGAAGGTACCAGGTTGCCCCTGCCTCAACCTCTCTGATTTGCAGGGGAGGGGGGCACTAGTTCTATTGACCCCTCACCCCAGGTCCTCCTCCCTTTGGCCAATCGCACTAGGCCAGGAGGGGGGGCACCACAACAGCTGCCCCAACTGTCCTGATCGGGGACCCCCAGGGAGCTGCACCAGAGAACTGGCCCTCTCTACTAGGGTGGCAGCAACGTGGCCATAGCTGTGGAGTCATTGGGGGGCTGCCTCCTGGCTCTGAGGGTATGTGGGGGTCGGGGGCCAGTGGGGAGGTGAAAGCGGGGAGCAGGGTCCTGGAAGAATGGGGGGAGAAAGTGGTGAGGGGGGCTCCTAGTTCAGAGATGGTCCCATCCCAACCCCCACCCTGTCCCCTCTCCCCCCACAGATGGCTGAAGCATTTGCAGCGATGAGAAAGGAGAAAAACAGCAAAGCAGTAGAAGCCGCCAGGAGAGAATATGAACAATTTGTGCAGGAGCTGGTGAGCGCAGAGGGGCTGGGAGTCAGGAGTGAGGGGCACCGGCAGAGCTCGGGGGAGCAGGGCTGGGATAGCAGGGGTCTGTGGGTTGGAGGGGGCTGCGGGTGTATGAGTCAGCGGCACCCCCCGTGGCTGGGTAACACTAATACCCATCCCTAATGGCCCATCTCTCCCCGCTTTGGGCAGGACCGTGGCCACCAGAGTATAAACTGCTGCCTGAGGGTGAAGCCTGAGGAGATGAAGAGACGGCTGGAGGGGAAACGCAGGGAGCTGCTGAAGCATTGCCAGGGGCAGCTGTGGGGCGAGGACACCCAGAAACAGGCTGCCCTGAAGGTGCTGGAGCAGGGGCTGGCCGGGAAGACATCCAAGTTCCTAACGGCCTACAGACAGCACTTTAAAGAGAAGGCTGTGCGGTTGGGCCTGTACATTGGAGGGAGTGTCCTGGCTGTGGTGGG